CTGTATTCTCTTAATTCTACAAACAAATTCGTCTCTATTTTTCCATATGCTCATAAATAGAAATGAATGTATCTTTATTACTAGAATTTCTTTGGTTATCCTGTTTCTTCTGTATTATATCTTGTAGGGATTTGTGAATCTTTGATTTACATGGTGAGTTACTTAGGGCAGCTTTTACAAAATGAACAATCTATTTTTTTGAATGTAATTTGTTAGAACACTTCTCCTGTGTTTTGCATATACATTTTTAGCAGTCACCAAGCGTACGATGACTCTAGTAGAGCTGTGACTTTTTGAAACTTGGCCCAGTTTCTCCCCAGTTGACAATCTAGGAGAAGGATATGGGGTAGGTGGATGCAAACCTTTTTAGAAAACTAAATTTGTGGTTTGTTTGGAATGCTGTGTATTTATCAAGCTAGGATACTTCCTTTAGTTTTACACCTGACTTAAAGTTCACACATTATTTTATAATGCAAACATGTAATATTTATTTTCATTTCAAAAGGCATTTAGCTTTAGGTTTTTTGGAAAAGGAGAAAATCTCACCAAGAAGAAGTCTAAAATAATAAAAAAGGGAACAAGATCCATTCTGACAATCTAAGGTGGGATTAGCTTTAAACCATTTAACAGTTTGTCCAACCCATCTTTAAAGCTTTCTAGTGTTGAACATTCCACAACAAACAGTTCATTCCAAAGCACTGCTCCTCTTAGGAAATTTTCTTCCTCTTACCCTCCTGCATTTGAAACCCAGTACTAGTTGACCATTTTGCTGTGGATGTAAAACCAGTTGCTTTCTGGGAGTTCTTTATGGAGTTCCAGCCTGTTCACAATCTTCCTTTCTTTAAGGTAAAGGACCATAGTTCTTTTTAAGTGTTTTTGTACTATGAGGTATTTTGCTGAGCATTCTGCTAAGGTGTGGTACCTAAAACTAGCCACTCTGAGCTAGCAGGTTTATAAATATTAAGTATGCAGCTGAATATATTGTTCACCTTTCTTGCAGGACTGTGGTCTTGCTAATTCATGTGCAACGTGTGATGCTCTATATAACAAAGTGACAAATGTAGAATACATTTGGGTCATTTGTTTAATACAAATACATTTTTTTTTCACAACAATAAGCAGATATATTATTTTCCCTTGCCTTCTGTCTTTCAGTACACATTCACCCACAAAAACATACAATTTTTCTTTTGCAAAAGAGAGGGAGTCAAACAAGTAACACAAACTTGTAGTTCCAAATATTATACACAGTAAAATATTTTCATCATAGAGTAAGTTTCATCGCATTATTAGAAATTATAAACGGTTTTTTGTGGTGATGGGGAATTACTGTTTTTTCCTACACAACAAAAATAAACACTGCCTTCAGATAGAGCAGTGTGTGAATGGCACAGTTGGACTAGTCAAGAATCTTTGTAATGCTAATGATAGTCAAAAGTGGTATGTTTATGCCAGTTTGAAATAAATAAACTTTATAATGCTTGTAACTTAAAACAGGAAAAGAAATGTGCATGTTCACAGGTGAGGAATATCTTGTTTAAAATTCCAGACCTGATGGGACACCAGATTACTTCTACCTACCTTCATTAAAACTTTGATTAAACAAGAGTGCAGATTAAGCTCTTTTTAGTAATGGCAGCTCAGAGCAAGGTTCTGCCCTTGTGGGTTTAGCCAGGCTAAATTCCACCATCAGCCCATTTGCCTGAGATGGACTGTGGCTACACAGGCAGTTTGATACAGATCTTTATTTGATATTTTCATTAAAAAGTCTGACAATGTATCTTAAAACTTTCAGTATACTGTTTTTGCAGGATAGAATCCTGTGGTTATTAAATTGATACAGAAAATTGTGCTTTGTGTGGGAAAGAAAACACATCAGTTGATAAGCAGCTGTCTCGTGTCTGTATTCGTGTACCTTCCTTATTCATGCCGACATGTATCCAAGGCATGTTGGTTTGAATAGCTCCTTGCCCTCTTGAAGAGGTTGCACCCTGCTTCAGAAACAAATTCCAGTCCTGCATGAAATCTCTGAAAGCCCTAGAATGTCCACTGCACCTAAGAAGAGAAAGGGATGCAGGAGCTAGTACTGTAATGCTTTCAAAGGTTAAAGACTGCTTCCAGCCTGCTGTAATCTTTCTTGCTGCTGACTTGCCTCATTGTCTGTCTCAGCAGACAGTGTCTCATTTTGTTTTTCTCCTGCTGTCCAAATTAATATTTCAAAGGAAGGGGAGGAATTTCAACTGAAGTCTTTCTCCATTCTTATATTTAATTAACTGTAAGCTCAGTTGCACGTGTAGTTGAGTGCCAAAATAGTGTTTTGAAATTGAAGTCATTAGTATAAAATTTTGCGAGTTGTCTGTTCTGTTGCTGGCTCTTCAGGGTATTATTAAAAATGTACAGTAATCTTGCTGGATGCTACAAATCTGCTTTCAGAAGTGTCAGGTATTTTTTTGAGTTGAATTTTTTACATGTTCAAGAAAAAAACCAATGTGAATTAGTCCCCAGCAAAATGTCAAAATAGGGGATAAAGTACTTTCAATGAGGTCATGATGCTACAGCAGGTCAAAGAACAAGGTGGCTAAAAAAGCAGGGTTACTGTCGCTTGGTAAGAAGCTTTCTGATTATTTTGGAAAGCTCTTAATTGTATTCCATAATAATGTTCCTTGTCTGTCAATTTTGCTATGATTCATCAGGCTTTATTGCAAACATCATTCCAAACATTTAGATGCAGCTAGTAATTTGAAGTGTCTAACTTCAGATACCATGAGATGTATTTTCTAGCAAGAAGATTTACAGTTTTTGAAAACCATGCCTTTGCAAACTATCTTAAACATATGCAGTTATGAGGCTTTGCTTAGTACTGTCATTGTCTTCTGAAGACCTTCTGAAGTCTCCTCCACACTTATAAATGGAGAAATGATTTGCTTACTCTTGGATGTCACTTCAAATGAGATGTTGCTACAATTCCAATTTGCAGTTGTATAATTGGAAAGTTACTTTATATGAAAAGTGCATGTCATGAAAAAAACTTAAACATTAATCCAACTCACCTGGAGTAACACTTAAAGCAAATATTAGTATGTATTTGGGGCCTGTTCAAGCACCAAGACTGTGTCCTGTCTAGCCAGATGACAATCACTTAGTCACAGCCAAATTACATAAGCTTTTCCAGTACAAAAAAACATAATAGTCTGATAAAAGACACATTTCTTGCTAATACTGCTACTTCCAGTATTCCCTGAGCCTTAAGCCAGTAAACACATTCACAAAGGAATGCCTAATATATAAACTCCAATACAGCTTAGGCCCAGCACCTTGGATACTTGCAAGAATAGGATGATTCTGTTATTTAATTGTAGATATTTGAGTGTGTAAAGATGAAATTTACCATGAGAAACTGCAAGGCTTCTGTAGAAGCCTAGTTCACTTGTAATGGTGGCAGATTTCCCCCTTTGAAAGAACCTGTGCTCTCCTATCCTCTTTACTCTGGTTCTGTATGTGCTTGTTCGCTTTTCTTCCTTTAACTAAATACAAGGTCAAAAAAGAACTTGTAACTTTTTTTTTTAAATACACATTATGTTCAGGCCCCAGACTTGTGCACACCAGTACATCACTACTCCAAATCAATACTTACTGTTGTGTCCTGATGGTAGACATCACAGGTACAAGAAGTGAATCACAAAGTTGGTTGTTTATATATAATTCACCCTGTTGGACACAGTATTATATCTACATTCATTTATCTATTGCACCCTTTAATGCTATTCACACTTCATTTTTATGTGAGAATGCTCAAAACACGAAGTTAACAACGGAACTGTTGAATCTCTAACACCTCAAGTTTACCTGTACAGAGGGAAACCATTGATTTATTTTTTCCAGTAAGGAAGATAAAAAACTAACTTTTCAGAACAAGGAGATAACACTAATGTTTTCTTAAGATACATAGGTATATTCTCTTACGTCTACCTTTCTGTTATCATGAATCTTAAAAAATAAAATGAAAAATGGCTTCCATCTTCCCTATGTGTCATCCTTTTTCAGACCTTTGATAATATGCAATTTAATTTTGTGCTATTCTGTAGTAAACTGCATTTTTTCATTTATAGTTCTGCCTCAAAACTTTGTGTATCCAATTTATGTCTAATTCACTCTTACAAAGTAAAATAAACAGCTAAGCTGCTCTTCTAAATGTATATCTACACATTCTCTCCTTCTTGTACTTATTTTGCTGACATCTGTACTTAAAAAAATGTGTAGCTTATAGAGACATGGGTTTATACTGTTTGGAATTGCTTGCTTTTCAAAAATTCAGGCATATTTTAAAACAATGCTACCCCTCAAATGTTTCAAATACCCTTAGTTGACACAGCTGCCCAAACATTCAGGCTCCACTGCAATCACATGAATGTGCGTTACCCTCTGAGGCTTAGAGAGCAAGTGCTTTTGATACTTTGATCCACTGCAATCACATGAATGTGTGTTACCCTCTGAGGCTTAGAGAGCGAGTGCTTTTGATACTTTAATTCAACTAATACTTATAACTCAGTTGGTACCCTTTTGAAGTGTGTCTTTAAAAGATAAATAGCAAATACAACTTTTAGTAGTAAACAGATGACAGGTTTTTGTTCTATGTAAACAAAATTGTTATATCAGATCTGTTTCTACTTGCCCAGCCATCTGACTTAAATAAAAGTACTCTTGTCACATTGGTTTGGCGTTGTCTGTTAAACCTGTTCTCTATTGCACTTTCTGCACGTCCACTTTCACTACACTTGCCGACTAGTTGAGAAACTACTTCACAAACAGCCACAGTCTATACAGTAAGAAGTTGCTTTGCTGGATCCTTTTCCTTGTAGAGATTTGGTTTTTGTGTGTTTTTTTTGTGTCTTTTTTTTTTTAAACTGAAAAAATGCACAGTCATTTCTACTCTCTTTTAGCATTTGTAGTGTAGAAGACACTACTCCTTATTCTGCAAAGAAGAAACAATGCTGTCTCTTTCAAACGGGCAGGACCTCAGATGTTTCTTCAGTTGCCGGCTGAGAGTTTGTACCTGTCTGTGCTACTGGCACCACCACTGCGTCCTTGACTTCCGAGGTCTGAGTGCACGAAGAGTTCTTCTCCTCCAGTTTTTTGGCAGTGTCTGGGCAGTTCTGAACACAGATCACTCTGTTGTAGGCTTTCAACCTGCGCCACAGCTGAACGTAAACCTTACACTGCACGTACATGAAGACCAGGCCCCCCGTGAATCCAATGGCCACCACCATGAGTTTTGTCCAAAATGGCCATTCAAGGACACCTTTGAAAGAAAAAGTTTACATTTATTATCATTGTTACACAATGCATATCAAGTATGGAGTAAAATATTTTGAAAAGAAGACACTTGCTAAGAATTCCCAGGTATGTACATGCCGTTTCCTATCCCATAGGCCAGCCAAGAAACTACATCTGTCCGCCCCACCCCCCCCAATAATAAGAAATAAGAATTTTGAATAAGAAATTCAAGGCCACTCTCATCAAAGCAGCATAATACTTGATACAGTCAAAACCAAACCAAAACTTTTTACTGTTCTTCAATAATATCCCCATATTCAATAGCTTGCTTAAGCAAAAATACAAGTACCAAACCCGAGCTAACTGGATACCTAGAAATATGTACATCTTCAGCAGCAACTAGGGGTTTTGTTATGCTAGAAGCATGGCCGTATTTAGGATACCTGTAACACCAACATTTACAATATTATTACCTGGTCCTAGCTTCATCCTGAAGCCAGGGTCAACAGTAAAAAAAGCTAGTGGGGGGAAAAAAAAAAAAAAAAGGTAAAAAGCCTGTGGCATCCAACATTTCAGCAAAAGAGGGGGGGGGAAAAAAAAAAAAAAAAAGGGGGGGGGGGGGGGGGGGTAGAGCTAAGCTAGTGGAAAGTTGTGCTGCTTCTTCCATGGTAATACTGGAAGCATCATTTTTTGCTTAACTGATGTATAGCACAGTGAATTTTGAACCTTCAGTATATTTCAGGATTGCCATATTTTCACGGACTTCATAGAATCATAGAATGGTTCAATCATAGACTTATCTTTATTAGACGAGACAAAGCTCAGCTATGCCTAGACCTGTTTCTTCAAGTAGAGCAAATGTATGTCAACTTGATTCCCTACCACTGGTGCCATTTAAATTCTAGAATATTTTAAATATATTTTAATTTGTTCTTTCTATAGACCAGTGACAGGTTTACCAATTAAGAGGTTTACACTTTTATTTATTTGTATTAAATGCTTTCCTAAGGAGCAAAAAAAAATCCCTTTATATATTTTAAGAGACACATTTTAAAAATAATGTTTAAACTTATACAATATTAACAAACAGCAATATTTATTATTCAGGGCTTTCAGTTTTTCTCCTCTACAAAGTACGTTTATAAAATTTTTTCCTCCAGTGTTCACTGTCTTTTTCCCAGCATTTCCCATTTAAAGAGAGATAATGAAAAAGAGAAAAAGCAAACTATGTATATGTCTCTCCTCCCCCTTGCCCTGAATACACACGTTTGATTCTGTAAAAGTACTTTTTTTCCCTCCAACAAGCAAATTTTGGGGCAAAAAATTTCTCTTAACCAACACTTATTTTTGCATGTTGAAAGTAGCTTCAGGGCATCTCTTTGTCCATGTTTTTTTGTGTGGAGAATCATCCGTTCCTTTTGGCAAACACTGAATTCTATACAATATGTAAATAATTTTGAGCCTACCAGGATTAATTAATTACTGTGATTCTTACACATTCTGTATAACATCTGAAATTCATGTTAGCTGTTTTACTGTGTAAATTCAGCTAATCCACAGGCATACCTTCCCCCTTTTTAATGAGTAGGGTGGTGTAGTTGTACTCAGAAGTTCAAAGCCATTCCTAGTCCTGTCCTCAGGGCTGCTTTTTTGAGATGAAAAGCAGGGCTACACATTTAGAAAGAATGCAGAACAAGCCTTTGTATTCTACGTTCATCTGTGACTTACTGAGGCTTGTTAGTATTTTCCTCTCATAGTCAAGAAAGGCAAGCATCAGGAGTATCACCAAATATTTATCTAACTAGAAATGGGCACAAAGTTTGGCCTGTTTTGTTTTGTTTTTATAACTTCAGAGTATAGCACAAAGCTAGAGACCTTTGTCCCTCTACTAATTCTTAAAGTCAATTCAGATCAAAACTCAAAGGCTTCTTATAATTTTAATCACCATGATCATATTTAAGACCCAGTAGACTTAGATTTGAAATGGAAAACATTACTTGAGTTTACAATATAGTTTCCACATATGGTTAAGTATAACCCAAACAGAAACCTACTTATGCTGTACATGCATTTTGTTACACATGTCCAGTTGGGTTTTCAGTATCTCCACAGATGGAGACTCCATGACCTCTCTGTTCCAGTGTTTGACAACCGTCACAATATACACAGCTGGAATAAGGACATTCATAGGGAAGATCTATTTGAAAGGACACAGGAATGGCTTTCCGTGCTACTTAAGTACCACACGAAGGACTAACACAACTGGAACATGGTCTCTTGCAATTGCATATTAGGAAGCTTTGACAAAAGGGCTCTTGTGTTTTACAGAATATTGAGGTTCAAGTGGGTAATATAAATAAATTTTTGTTTTGTGACCTGGACTTGCACTGAGCTGTCTGAGCTTGACTCATCCTTTTGTCTGAGCTTTAGAAATATCTAGATAATGGGAGATTAACCTAAGAAGAACCAGCAGGCCAGTTAAGCTGTTGTAATGATTACACTAAAGAGAGGTCTCTCTGCAGGGGCATAACATAAGCTTTTACACGATATGTTCATTATTTCTGCATTAAAGCATTTGATGTAGCCATGTACCAGTGAGCTGTTACTTAAGAACAGAATGTAGCTGGTTACATAGCTGCATCTCCCATCAATCCATTGCATTAGCAACAAGATTGAAGAAGATAGAAGATACTTACCATTATCGTTGCCTTGTTTAATTTCCTCAGCAGTTCTATCAATTAAAACATACAATGACCAAACAACGCAGGTAATTGCAATTACGTGGAACGTCACCGAACAAACTATTTTCCTCCTCTCACTTGTTGTCATCTGTAGTTTCTCCCACTGTAATTTAAAAAAAAGTAATAAAAATCAGACTTGTAAAATTTTATATTAAACTGATTAGGCCATTCTAGTTCTTGCTACCAAAAAAAAGTAAGCAGTAATAAAATTAACAAATCCTTTTATTTTGATAATACACATTACAGTAGTATGTGCAATGTCAATGTAAAATTCATAATCTCATTTTCACAGATTCAGAGGAATGAAGAGTTCTGTTTCTGTCTGCTTGCAAATTACATCTAAAGTAATTTCATTGCAGTACAGCCATAACATGTTAATAGACAGGTAAAAAGATGAATATTTATTTTAACTTTACCTGATGCACACTTACGGTGATGAGAGACGAAAAAACCCAAACCCAAACTAATTCAGTTGCTTAAAATTAGAGGAATGCAGTTGTGGAACAGTCTTCCCATAAAACAGAAGGATAAGAAATGCAACTGCATTGAGGATTAAATTCAATAAACTTGAAAAGATGATTTACATGGAAGAGTGTACATGATAGCAGTCAAGCAGCCTCAGTAACGAAAGAAGGATCTTCCAGGCACATGTTTGTGAATTATGGCACTAAATCCTAGCTCAAGTTAAGGTTATTTTAAGATGAAATAGGCTATTCTCTGCATTTGAACAATGCAACTCTTGGGGCAATTTTTTAAATCTTGCTTGTGAAGACGTTCTTCTCAGCACTTCTTTAAAAATAAAACCTTTCTCTACTAAAATGCTTGCCTTTGAAAACAGATGAAAAAATATGATATTTAAAAGCAAAATGCCTCAATTCTGATGAATAATCCTGGAGTCAGTCACTAGCATCTGATGAACAAAACGAGTCCAAACCACAGTACAGCAGTGCCATCTCTCTGCAGCCGTGCTAACGCCAGACTGAAGGGTGGTTCAGCATCCGAGCCACAGCTCTCACCACCCGGACAGCAAAGCTGCTCCTCTGCTTGCAAGCACCTTTGGTACCCCTGGGCTGCAGCTCCTCAGAGTTCCCAGGTGCTAAGGCTGGATCAGAAACCCCGGCCACTTCAGAGCACTGAGGTGGTATACGTCTACTTTTGAAGGTACGAATTCGGGGGTTTTGCCAGCTGTTTTTTTTTTATAAATTTTGCTTTGTTTTGGGGAAATAAGAAATTTCCCCAAATTATGGCTAGTGTTGGAGATGGCATCTAAGCTAGATGCTTAGACTTTAACCTGAACCACCACGGCCATTCTTCTAGTCTGAACGCTGTTTGCTGTCTGGTCACATTTCCATGGAACACAACTGCATTTTTTAAAAGCTGAGGAATTTCAGTGCAATGTCACCAAGAGGGCTTGGAACAATATGATCCCTAAGGTCCTTTCCAACCCTAACCATTCTATGACGGTGTAACTCTCAGAACTGCTTCTTCCTCCCATTAGATTTAGAGCTGTACATACTGGGTCAGACAAATTTCCTTCTTTAATGGCAGTTAAAACTTGCACATTTCAGAGCTGTTGCCTCAAAACACAATTTCCGGAGCATTTTCTAGCCCTTGCCAGAATTTTACGAACACAAAGCTTAAATAACTGTTTAGAAGAACTGAAAGATTTCCTGAGTAATATACAAAGAGCTACCAATTTTTTTGCCAGCTGACATCTCATTTCAGTTTCTGATACATCTCCTCAGGAGTGAAAAAACAAGCTTGCTGGGTTTTGTGTGGCAGTCTGGGAAAATGGGAGGCATTAAAAAAAAGTAATAAGACAAAAAAACAGAACCTTATCTTCATTGTAGTTCATGCAGGTAGTATTCAGTAGTCAGACCAAACAGACTGTGGCACTATCATCACAGTCTTATCATACCATCACAGTCACCAGGTCACACAGCATTTGACCTGGAGATGTTCACCCCTTTTTTCAGTGAAAATTCAATTCAAGCCTTGCAACAGGCTTTCTTTCCAAAGAAAAAGTTGTGTTTGTCCAGAGGGAAGAAAGGATTGTTACCTTAACCCTTCACTTACCTGTGGATGCTCTGTGAGAGAGCAACGTTGAACATAAAGGAGAATGAATTGTGTTCTTAAACAGAAACTGTCATCTCAACTCTGATGCTACACTTTTTGGTCTACTGGAGAGAAGATTCTGTACTAAACTTTCATTGTCATGTATACCTGCAGTCTCATTATAGCCATTTTACTTTCTGTAACATACACGAAAGCCTTAGAGTGTTCATCTGAGCTCAGACAAATAAAGTTTTCATACGGAATTTTAAAGCTGAAGAAGAATGCTCCTCCCATTACTCTTAATTGTAAATGTCTTTTAAGTGGGAAAAGAAAAAAGACAAAAACAAATGACCAACAGGCAGGATAGGTAAATAAAGGAGCAAGTTCACAAACTTCTGCTGAGATTTACAAGAAAGGTCTATCAGGAGAAGGAGCTAGCAGAAATGGGCTAAAGGAGATATTTTTTGCCAACATCCCATGATCAAATCCAGCCAGAAAGCAAGCCAAGGCCAACTGGACTCTCCTGTCTCTCTCTGGCCCCTTTTCCTCACCCACAAGACAGCATGCCCATGTGTCTACTCTGTCCACACACACGTTATCACACCAGAAATGAGCTGGCTGGCAGGAGACCTGGAGAGGCCGCCAGGACATGGGTGGTGATGGCGCTGGATGGCTGCGCAGGCACCTTGTGCTCCCAGTTGGGATTCCAGAAAGGACCAAGGAGAGGCTCCTGCTCACACAGACAGACATGGGGGATCAGAGTACTTGAAAGCATTTCACAGCTCTTAGTGTCTCCCAAAGCTGCGCTTCTGTTTTGCCTTGCCCTAGCTGCAGTCCCAGTTCTCCTCTCAACTCCAGTCACGATGGGTTGAACTCAGAGGGGAAATTCAATGAAACTTTGTGCTCTACTCCTGGTGATCCCTGTGGTGGCAGAGGTAATTTTCCTGTCCTACTCATGTATTTTAGCTTGGCTGAACAGAGAGTACTGTGTGACTCCTGTCACTCTCTACTAGACGAGTGATGTTAGTAGGTAAGGCAGCAGTTTGAGTTGCCCTGGGGCAGAAAAGTGCAATTCACTATTTTAAGATTTTTGCAATAGGCTTAAATTGAAAATTTGACTGTTAACATTAGCACAGGCTTGCTTGGATAAAAGCACAGTTATGTGAAATAAAAATGGCTTGCAAATCCATAGCAAAGGCTATGAGACAACAATATATTGAACAGTGAAAGCATCAGCCCCTTTTCACTTGTGCTTTATAGTCCAGGACTTGATATAGCCTAAAGTTGGGTGGGTAAGTCTGGCAGGAGCTACCAGGTCCCACAGTGCATTAGTGCCTCCTTAACCACTGATAAATTCACCCCAGCTGTATTTTGGCTCTTCTGCATTTCTTGTTGCTACATTCATAATGGCAAAATAAAAATAAATTGCTTCACATTTTATTATCTTCCTCGGTCATCTAGAAAAATGTATAACCACATGGTTGATGACACTGTGACACTGCATGGATAGAATATCAGATGCCACCAAGAACAGAAAAAATAACACAAAAGTAAGTAAGCGCACCGATGCAATTTTCCTTGGAAACTTATACGTTAATACTCCTAAGGTGCTCTAGAGACTGAAAGGAGAGAAAGAAATGGAAGACTATAACAGCCAGGAGACATTTATAATGGCTGCAAATTACTGAGTCACTAAATTGATAGATAAACACTTTAGTTTTTGCACAGCCTACTCCGAAGCACCCCTTTACTGTTGTACATCCGATTGTCACCCCCCGCAGTTTCCTTAATTTTGTCAGCAATACACACACAGACTGGAAATCATCACAGATGCAGGCAGTTTAATGTCCTGCAAATGCAAGCAACCGCATGAATACCATCGTGCTCCACAGAACAGGTGTGCTAGAACATTTCATAAGAGCTAAGGACCACAAGACCTTTTACACAAGTCACCAAACAAATCCACAACACAACAATATGAACCCTGAGAAGAAAGCCTGAAATATCCCCAACCCGCTTTTTATTTTCTGGATAAGCTTTCCGAACATCCCACTTGCACTGTGCTCTGCAAACCACTAGAGGGTGGTAGCAGACTGCTTGCTTCAGAGGCTCCTACCAAAAAGCCAGAAAGAAGCTGGATTCCAAATGGGATCAGGACCACTCCTCCCACCCCAGCCACTACTTGCAGCTACTTTTAAAACACAACGTGCACCTCAGCCTGAATTCCTGTACTTTACTGCCAGAGAAGTTTGTAATAATCTTGGAAATGGCACCTGTAAAACTGTACCCTGGTGTACGTTTCTACCTCCTGTTTTGGTTTTGTTCTTAAAGGCTATCTCGCGCTGAAACTTAAAGGGGATGGTTACTGATTTCACAACACACTCTTGCAATTACAAAATGTAGTCAAGGGGAAAGAAAAAAAAAATAAGCAAAGAAAAAAAAATAGCCTACTCACAGGGAACATCTAAATCATATGTAGCCAACCACTTCCCTTTCCTGTAACACACTCTGAGAAAATCCCCAATATTTCTTTTAAAGGACTAAAATTTGCCTCCCTGCATGTCACGCCTAATAAAATCTTGTTTAATCAACATGCAACAAATAAATATGGATATTTTGTAATATCCTCTGAAAACAGATTGTCTGCAGATGAGAGGATGCTGCTTCATGTCCTAGAGATCCCAACACAGCCTCCCCTCTTACAGAGAGAAGTAAATCTGCAATTTTAATTCCCTCCCATACATTAAGGTTTCTGCAAAGTGGTTTCATGATAGCACAATGCAAAACCAAAAGCTTCACACTGCTCACACAGAAGCTGTTACCACACCACAGAATTGCACTTTTGCACTTTGCTGCTTGTGCTCCTTTTCCCCACCTTCAGACTGCAGACGCACTGCCTGCCTGCCCCATCCACCATTTTGTGTGCCCACGTTGTCTCCTGCCACTGGTAATCTTCTGTCCCATTGGCCACAAAATTTTGTCTACATGGATTTCCTGAAGCGACTCCATGCCTCCTGCAGGGTTGTAGATTCACACCTTCCCAACCGA